GAAGAAAGAAGGAAGAAAGAAGGAAGAAAGAAGGAAGAAAGAAGGAAGAAAGAAGGAAGAAAGAAGGAAGAAAGAAGGAAGAAAGAAGAAGAAGAAGAAGAAGGCAGCTCAAGCGGGAAGGGCCTTCAAATCAAGCACGAGTGAGGGATTAAGGATGTGCAAGACTTGCCGTAATGTTTTTTCAACCCTCTCTGTGTCTCTTCCTCCTACTCCACGGGCAGACAAAACTGCCGTCCCACACCTCCCACGCCGTCGGTGACCGCCGTTCTTTTCGTGGCGCCAAGGTCTCGACTCTTCGCAGCCCTGCTGGCTGTGGCCATGGGCGGGGGGGCCCCGGGACTCTGCGCGTGGCCATGGACTGGCGTCGGAGCACCATGGATTGAGCCCTTTTGGGGCGCCGAAGAAGCATGGTTGGACTAAAGGACTTGACACGACAAATCCAGATCAGCTAGTTTAAAACCGGTCTTGGACTTCCCGGGACTAGTAATCTAGAATCTAGAGGATGCTATATATATATATATTAAGTAGGCAGCTCTTTGGAGAGCATGTCGGGATGATTCCAACCCTTTTGGGAACCATCCTCGTCACGAGTTTCCAAACCTGCTTTCTTTTCACAGCATTTCCGTGATTCATTCTGGAGCCCAAACCTCCCTTTTTGGACGAGAATCTGGGCCTTTGCCCGCGCATGGAGGCTGGTGGCACGAAGTGAACGGCGACGAGCAGCTCTTTGCCAATGCGTTCTTTGGCCTCGATGGGCGACGACCAGAGGTGGATGTTACAAGCCAAAAGGGCGGGGTTATTCAATCATCAAGAGCCTACCCTGACGCACCCAGGATACTCAGGATATCCAAGATTACCAACGGCAACCACCTTCTGGGTTTTGTCCATTTGGGAACGGTTTGTTTCAAGGACGCTCCTGGCCTCTCCACGCCTGGTTTTCTCAGAATCAAAGAAGTCGACGAAGAGGTGCAAGTCCACCCGCAGGGACCAGCCGACTAGCCTTACTCGGTTCATGGAGAGGGACAGGACGCGCAGCAGAAAAAGAACATTTCATATAGACTTGTATGATGTTATTTTCTTCTTCCTAACTTGGGTCTGTGGGAGTTTGCACAGTCATGTCATGTATATATGCAGCCTAATGCAGCATGTGGCTCCGGAGTCGCCCCGCTGTTCGGCAGCTCCGGAGCCTCAGGTTGGGCCGAGCTGCCATTGGAGCGCCCAGCGCTCGGAGGGTCAGATTAGACCAGCTGGGTGGGCCAGCCGTTCGGTGAGTCCAGTGGTGGAAGTGTAGCAGTGTAGCAGAGGTTTCCTTGGATTTGGAGGGTCCCAGCCCAGCCTTGGATGTTGGATGATGTTGGATGTGGAATTGGCATGACTTGGACTTGCGGCTTCTGTTGGCCTTCACCTACCTCCACACCACTCTCATCCCGCCTCTCGTAGCGGCCACGCCACCCTCCTCTCGGCCGAAAAGGCGCCGCGAGCTCAGTGCATTGGACGCTGCCGTGAGGTGCGGGGTTTTCGGGTGGCGTCGCGCAGGCGGACAGCTTTTGGTTTCTGCACTCCGAAAAGGAAGGGACATGCCGGCATGTGACATTTTTATTGCACGAAAGCCGGGGAGAGGAATTTTCAACATGTTCCAAAATCACGTGACCAGCACATAAAAGACACCAATTCAAATGGAACTAAGGGAGGCCATGCCCTGGCCCTGGTGGAAGCAAACAGAACTGCCGCACAGACAACCGCGCAGGCCGACGCCTTTGCTGCCGGTTCGCGAGCTTTGGGATCAGGGCGCCGAGGAGCAGTTGAAGGCCTTTCAACATGCGGTGCATGACACGGTGCATGACACGGTGGTGCTGGCCGATGATGCTCGGAATGCTTCAAGACATGTGGAGTCATGTTGCAAATGCAGAGGTTCTTCCCGAAGTTCCAGCTCTATCAGACAGCTAGCCACTAGTTGAGCTAGGCTGCAAGAGCGGGTCCGAAAGCGTAGAAAGCCTTCAATTGGCCAACTGGTACGTTAATTAGGGCTTTTGGGTGCTTTTCATCAATCATACGGGCAGAGTGTTGGTCCAGTATGGCTCATCATTCCCTGGCACATGCCATTTATTGTCACTTATCCAAGATTCCTGGATTCGTCCAGCAAGAGGTGAAATACACCAGATACATGAAAAACACCCAGTGGCTGGTTGCTAGCAGTGATGATGTTAGCGGAGGGAGTTCCCTCCTGGAGTTGGGTTGTGGTTTTGACCTGTCAGGCCTTTGGCGCGGTGTCCCTTTGCTTCAACGGGATGACAGGACTGTGGTGCGATGTTGGGCCCGCGATGGCATGAGCTGGTTGAGAGGTCATGGGAACTGGGTCGGGTGCTACCTATAGTATCAGTATCTTCTTGTTACTAGTAGATGCCAGGAGCTACTAGTAGCCTCCTTGCTACTAGTAGCGATGCACCTCCTTGTCTAGTGGTCGGCCAAGGAATGAAGATCGCAGATCAACACCGGTCAACACGGCAACTCTCTCACGTCACGTCGTGTGCGGGTGGGCAGAGGTGAGCGAGAAGAGGAAGTCAGTTCTTGATTCTTGAGTGGTCCCCGCAGTCCCTGACCGGAGATGGAAGGCAAGCTGGCTCACGGGAGTCTTCTGGAGCCAGTGTGTTGTTGGTGCCTGCGTTTGGTCGATTGATGAGAACATGCTGTTGGAGCATAGGCTGCTCGACATAAACCCTTCCCACGTGTTGAGTGATTGACAGAGGGAGAGAGAAGAGAGAGAGAGAGAGTACCGTTGGCAGGCCTTTGGTCAAGCTTGGCTGAAATTTGCAGGGCTTGGTGCTGAGATCAATGGCGAGCAAGAAGAAGAATGAAGAAGAATGCTGTGAATTGCCAGTTTGTTGTGGTAGAGTGGCTCGTTCTTTGTCTAGAAACGGGAAGTCAGTTCTGACACCGCGACGCATGCCTGCCTACAGTTGTGGCTCTTGGAGCAAGCTTGCTAGCAGAGACAGCTCTTTAAGATCCCAAGTGGTGCTGCTGTTTGGAAGATGTCAGAAGTAGGTGGTCCAGGAGTCCAGGAGCTATTACCATTTACCTGCGCTCACACTTGTTCTGCAAAACAACCGCACCAATGTCTAAATCATCTATATATATATATAGAGAGAGAGAGAGCAAGGTGTCTGGGTGTCTCATGGGACGAGGTCCACCCACCAGTGATGCTTAATGAAGACCTGACTGTTTTGAGTCGGGATGCTGTATCAAAGGTATATACATGACCATTGCCAGCACATGTCCAGGGGCGCCCCTAGAAAAATCAGCAGCAACTACTTCGCAGGACCTTCACACAGCCCTGCCAGCATGTTGACGCCAGCGCAGCTGCAACTCCACCCGGCACGCTTCCTTGCGGGTGGCGATGTGTTGGAGCCGAGACAGCTGGAGAAACCACCAGCTGCTCCAGCGCGCAGCGCCCGGCGCCGTTCAGCTGCTGGACTCCAGGAGGGATGCACCACATCTGTTCGATTCTACTTGGGCAAGCATGCAGCATGGATATATGGATATCGTTGATTGGGATGACCGATTATATGCTGTGTAACATGCAGGGGCTTCATGTGTGGAATTCCAAATGGTTCCAGGTTTGTTCTTGTTGACCTTACTTATGGGGAGTGTTTGCCGTTTGCTATTGCTGTAGCAAGGAGGCCAGAAAAATGCATAGGATTCTATGTAAATGAGCTGCCCCGCGGCAACTGCACAGATGTTTCTTGCTGAGCCTTTGTACCACTGAGTGGTCTGTATTCACTCCGTTTCACGCTGAGCATGGCTTATGTCCCGCATCCAAGCCTTGCAGGCTTGATTGTAAGATCCACTGGCTTTGTAATCAGCTCTGGAGATACCCAGTGGTGGGTAAGAAGCAAAAAAACAGTTCCATCTCCCAGATGCAGGGCGTTTGCTTGGCTGCCAGTGCTGCTTCTCTTGCTCTGGCACGCTGTGGTAGGAAGAAGGCGGGGTGGGCAGTGGCCAGTGCTGCTGCTGGGGCAAGAACTGACATCAATTGTTGTGAAGACAGGGCGCCCTTGCACCTTGTGTTCAAGGTGCCCTGCACGACTTCAGATGCGGAATGCCACAGTCCATGTTTTGAGGTTTGAGGGCGAAAGCCGCGGGTTTTCTTCCATCAGTCAAGTCTCTAAGGAGCCAACTTTGTGTTTAGGAACTTGAGGAGCTGACTTGGGGTCATCACAAAGGACATCTAAAGACCTCAAACCATTGGGCGAGAATCCTTGAGAGAGAAAGAGAGAGGGAGACCGCGGAGATCTGCATGGTTGAGATGAGATGGATGGTGGAATGGACCAAACACATAAGATACAGCAGTAGCTCTTGACCAAGGCCTGCACCAACGGCCCAACATTTTTCGAGGCATTTTCTTGTCGGCAGGCCTCAATCACAGCCAAGTTTTGGACTGGGCAGTTGGAGTACTCGAGTCAGTTCTGCCTTTATTTGGGAATGTTCACCCCTTCCATAGGTGCGACCTCTTCCTTCACAACTTCGGGCGACCTCCGACCTCCAGTACGGTCCTCAGCCGCAGCGGGTGACCGGAGACCCCAAAGGACCCCGTGCGCACGGGGGTTGTTGGGCGGAGTCGCTGATGTGGAGAAACTCAAACCCGAGGACCCGAGGAGGAAGAGGTTTCTGCAGCATCAGAAACCTGTGCGAATTTGTAGGACATGGCAGGACCTAGGAACCAATAAATTGATATGCATGCCAAAAGAACGCAATGAAACCCTCTCCAGACATGTCCAAAGAAAATACCGTATAGGAAAACCATTTTCGACCTATTGAAGTAGAGAGAACACTTACGAGCCACTTGAACCGCCCCCCACCGGGGCCGAGGATCCTGCCGGCCACGTCCAGTGATCTGAGCGCTGCCGCGTCGGTGGCCGTGCGCGCGCTCCGGTGGACCCGAGGTGCGAGGAGAGACGTTCTTCGAAGACGCATGTTCGTCTCTTTTTGGGCACTTTTGGTCAGTAGATTCAGTAGAATATGAGTGTTTGGTCTGCGGAATAGTGCGGATTTGTCACACATTTCAGACCTCCCATCGATTTGCCAAACGGGATTGCCCGTGACCTGGTAGCTGGGAGCTCCTCTGAGTGGCCCTATGTGGATAGCACACTCCCCACAGGCTTAACACGTTGCCTCCACCTGGTAGAAGAAATATGGGTGCGTAATGGTGCGTATCTTTATAGCGTCCATTTTCCTTCTTCCACGTAGGTCTCCCCATTGGTACACACAAGTTACACAACCAAAACCCTCCAAGAGCACTTCCGCCTCGTGGTCCCGATGCTACTAGGATGGTTGGACACAAGCAAAACCCTCCAAGAGCACTTCGCGCAGTGGTCCCTCAGATCTAGGATGGTTGGACACGCCGACCTTTACGGATGATGACTACGCACTGCTTTCGAGCAGGGAGGCGCCGGTCTACCAATCCATTTACCTCAACGTGCCTTGGGCGTGCGCACACGGATGGGAGGGCGTCCGCACACGTGGGGAATTGGATGCAATACATAGTCGGAGTCAAATGACGTTATTTATGTACTGAACCTTCACTGTGCCGACTGTAACCTCAATGAGTGCTAAATGACTTTATGTACTGTGATGGCTGCATTTGCCTTTGCGACCCTTCAAGTCCTAGACAGGCATCCCCGTCCTTTGAGCCCTTGAGGACACCGGCTACCCGAGCACGATGCTGGTGGCGCGACTGCGCGAGCCACCTGTCCAATTGATTCGCTAGTTGGTGGAGGAAAAATAGCCATATATCAACCACAAGAACCAGCCTAGTCATGCAGAAAAGGATATGGAACCCAGCCGCCAGGCACACCCCACCAGGCACCTATGTTGCCTTGCAGTCAGACTGGCCAATGACGTCTGACTTCCCTTCATTCACCAGGCAGGTCGCTCATGAAAGAGTGCCCTGCTCCGTTCTCGTTTTGAGATGTGTTCCCGTCAGCATTCGAGGACAGATCCGCCCAAGAAGGAGAGCAACTGGTGGTCGGAGTGGTTCGATCTGGGCGGATCAGGCGGGGCCCCCGACCGCTGTTGGAAGTGGAGCCCACAGTGAAAAAACGGTTTGCTTTAGAGATGGGAGGTCAGACTGGGCTGAGGCCGAGGAGTTTGTGTCAAACATTTCCCCTGAGTTGCGAATGCTGATGTTGATGTCGGTTCCTGAACGGTCAGCTTGTCGGTTCCATGTTTCATCCGCCAGGCTCATCCTCCAAAGTCGTCGGCTGTGTGGGGTGCGAAGTGAAGTGCTTCAATCGCCTCAGCAACCAGCAGCTGCCAAACACTCAGTACGATGGGTGCCAACAGTCCACTTGGCTGCACGTTGGGCCACGCTGGGCTTCGGAGATGGTGTTTGCACCCCGGTGCAAAGGAGACGTGTTTGGAGTCAGTAATCTTTTTGGAAGCCATGCACGGTGAAGCCAGTTCTATATGTTCGGGAGGCTTTTCGTCAAGGAACATTGCACCAAACGCATTGAATGGAGTATTCCACGTGTCCTGGAAAGTGTTGAAAACTGAAGATCCCTCAAAGATGTATTGCTAGCTTTTGTTCAGGAGGGAAGCTAAGGAGCCCCATATTCCATAAGTCCGCAGGGATCCATGCGGAGCGGAGTTCCCCGACCCTGACAGCGGATCAGCACAACGGCAGTTTGGGGCGCACCGGGCACAGCACGCGCCACGCCGGATTTCGGTGTCCCTGAAAGAATGTCCTGTTTCCATCACATTTGGCGGGCATGGGCACCCGGACCCTATTCTCCGTAGGTAGGTGAAACATGTCTGGTTCACCATGTTCTGCTCATTGTCGGTGGGAAAACCCTAGACTTCCAAGACTATGTTATATAATAAATGGTTGAACTGGTTTTTGTATTGTAAAATCATTAGTTGGTTCGGGATTCAGCCTATTAATTGCCTTTGGTGGTTGGAAGTCTAGGGAAAACGCCCAGGGTTTTGGAACCACCTTTCGCCGGACCGAAACACACGAGGACGGTGCTTCGACCGGTGATGGCGGATTTAGCGGTCGCGGAGGCGCTTCGGCACGGCTCGGTGGTGCGGGGGTTGGGTCCTGACAGGCTCCCTGACAGGTCCAAGGTCCGGAACTCGGCCCGATTTAGCTCATGTGGTCGAGTTCGCTGGGTTTTGGGCGTGGTTTTGGTCAGTCCTGCAGCAGGTTTGACCTGTAGTAGTGTGTAGGTTTCGGCCAATCATTGAGGATGGCTATGCCGACACTTGAGGATGACAGTTTCCCACATGTTTCTCAGGGGCTTGCAACTGCTTGAGGAGGATGCCACGTTTTACTTTTTCCGCTAGGCATTCGTCAGTCAACTTCCAACAACACCCGGAAAAAGAAACACATCCCCAAACATGCTACAGTGGTTTCAGAGTAGATGGCACAGACCCCATGATGTCCTTGAGATGGGTCCATACTGGCACCACCGACCTTGGAGTAACTTGTGCCATCTACGGTCAGCTCACCCGGAGCGCCGCCCCCTTGGCCTATACTCCAGGAGTGTCGAGGGCGAGGGGTTGCCCGGAAGCTCGTGGAGCAGCTGGAGGAGAGCAGGAAACATGAACTGGTGGAATGCGGGGAATCTGTCAGGACACCTGCAGGATCTTCAAAACAGATGCACATGTTAATTTCGTCATGACTGGCAGAAGGGTTTCTTCTTATAGTATGTTCCCACTCAGCAGAGGAGTTCAAGTCTGTTCGCTTGTTCAACTGCGAGAGGTGTGGACCGGAAAACGCTTTCGTGCCGTGAAAACGACGCGTGCTTCGTTTCAGAAAAGGCGGTGGGAGGTTCAACCAGCAGTCCCTGTCCGCACTGACTGGAACTGGACGATACGAAAGAAAGGTGAGTGGTTGGGGCCAAAAAGGGTGGCCGCCTGAAGTGAAGAAGATATTGCCCTTTTGATCGCCGTTAAGTTGGTAAGTTGGTAAGATATTCCCTTTGATCTGTATGTCATATTCCCCTTATCAAGGAACATGACAAGTTGGCATACGTTGGTCCTTGAGCCGAAGTGATGGTGGGGCCAATGGCTGAGCATGTGTTGTGCCAGGTTGGGTCCATCTGAATCTAACCAAATCACATGCAATTGTTGATCCTCCCCAGGGTGTAACATAGATGCACGCTGTACCTGGAAGGGTTGTCATCGGAGAGGTGCTGCTCCCATCTGCTGTCAGACATCCCTCTCACGCGACTGGTCGAGCCCCTTCCTTCCAGGAGGTGGTCCGCACGTGGGGCTATGATGAGCTGGTGCTGCTGGTGGAAGCCAGCAACTTCCAGGTGAGAGACTCTGGACCGGTGCCGACCTTGCGATCCGGGGGGGGCCCTCCGGGGATCCGCTGGGGAGGGAGGAAGAACCTGATGAGATCACCACAGATCACCTTCTTCTGCTCAAATATGTCGTGTCAGAGTTGCCAGACACTTCCTATACAGCTTGCTTGAACTCATCCATCGGCTCATCATTGAAGAAAAGGAAAGAGTAGCCCCTTTGAAGAAGAATTCGACCAAAAACCTTCCAAGCTGTGGGAGGTTGAGAAGAACCATCAAGAACATGGAAGAACAGCTTGTCCGACATACCCGGGCCTCTTGGGAAGGAAACGGCCGCCGAACATCCGACCCGAAACAGCCGAACCTCCGAACTGCTGCAGCCAAGTTCCATCCGCCACTCGCGCCTGGGTGAGGCCAGAGGTGTCTATGGGCGCCTGGGATATCGATTGGCTGGTCTACGGCCCGCCGAGGCCATGGGACCGCACGCGGGACGTTCTTCGAACCACCATCCAGCCGAGCAATGGGGCCGGTTGTGGGTTGAGCAATGGGGCGAAAAGGCCAGGGTCGGTGCAAGTATGGACCCCCTATCTAAATCAAAGACATCGACTGGGGTGCCAGTGCCATTTCTTACCTCTGATGGCCCACTGCATCGAACCTCGACCCGTCCCAGACCCGTCGTGTTTGGGAGAAACGCCCGAGTGAAGCCATGAGAAGCCTTGAAAGATGAAGCTGCACTTGATGGGGCAGCTCACCTTCTTATGAAAAGGATATCGGATAAAATCAGATAAAATCAGTGAGTTGGGAAAAACACAGAGACAAATGTTGCTTTGTGCGTGAAAATGGTGAAATGCCAGTTGAACGTGAGGGTCTGTGACAGTTTGCACACTGGAGCTGGTTCTGACCCCACAACCAAAGAGCGCCAAAGACACAATGGGGGGTGGCACCGTCCGCTCTTTGGGTGAAGGCCACCTTCTTCCTCGACAAGAGTGGCGGCGGACGACAGGTGGCCGAACGAAAGACCGTCACTTGGGGGCAGAAAGGATGAGAAAGGCGTAGAAAGGTGATGCAGAGAGGAGCATCCGGGTGATGCAGTGATGATTGATTCTGGCGGCCATGCATCGTTTGGGTTTCAATTTTCACTCAGCCTATGTCTTCAGTGGTGGTGTCCTGTTCTGAAACTTTGAAGGCTTATAGGCTTATTGTTTGAATGTGGCAAACCCATGGATAGAGGGATCGCGGAGGCATGCTGAGGCCATGTTGCCTCGCATGAACTCGAATGTTGCACAAGTCGAAGTTCGATGTGGTCTCAGCCAAGCACCACCAGCTCACCAGCACCCTGTGCCCAGGTGGCCCTGATTCTCCGCAAGAGCTTGAAGCCATTTCCGCAAGGAGCTCTGGAAAACTTCGATTGGCTCACGCTTTTCATTGCCCTGGGCTTGGGCTCGCTCATTCTTGGCCAAACAGAGCTGGGTGATGTCGGGGACCTCTGGCCAAAGCTGCTGGCCCTCATGAACTCGGCCGTTTAGCTGGCAGGAACAAAGGGTCGCCGAGCTGAGGGATGGCGAGGGGTTCTTGCGCAGTTGAGGCATAAAACCCTGGCGAGGTGTGAGGAAAAGCAAGCAGGAAGCCACTGTGGAGGATGATGACGATGATTTTCCTGGATGACCTGTTTAAGTCCTGTTATATAAGTTGATACAGTACGATTAAGTTTTGGAGCAGTGAAACGCAAATTTAATTTTTGGTGCCCCATTTCAATTGAATACGTCTGAATTCACAAGCCTTCAACCACCTTCTAGTGATACCCAGCACGGATGATGGATCAACTCCCGACGGAGTTGGAGACTGCTCGAAGCGCGCGAGACGTGGTTGCTGCTCGTGCCAAGGGTTCCCAGGTGACCTGACAACTGTCCCTTGAAAATCCCTCAAACATGTCCACCTGGAACCCCGGACGTTTGAGGTCCGTTCCACTTGTTTGAGGTCCGTGCACGCGTCGGCGAGTCGAGTGGGGTTTGGTCAGGGCCGGGCGGTTACCTTCTCTGAGGCCAAACTGGCCGACCGCCAGCACCTCAGAAATGTCCGCCCCATACCTCGGGGGGGTCGTTCTTTGTGGCCCAGAAAGTGCGAGAGCGAGGCTACAACCCCCCTGCATCCTCGAGCATTTTGATGATGCATGAACGACTGAGTGATGGAAGTATAGGGACCACGTGGTCCGTTTTGATGGGACTTTGTAGGTAGATGGGATTTTCGATGTGGAGGAATTTGTGTGGTGGGGTTGTTCCATGGCTTGTGCCCGGTTTTGCATCGAAACCCTCGGATCCCCGCCCCGAACAAAGACGGCTCAAGACCGCTCGAGACCTGTCCCCGAGGCCGTGAAGTCCTTGTGACCGGCTGCGACAGCGACGATCCGAGCGGCAACCGGCCGCTGAGTGGATCGGCCCGCAAGGGGGGTGAGAAAACGGGAGCCGAGTTGAAAGAGTTGAGGCGGAGCAATGAGTGTGTGTGTGTGTGGTCGATGGATGATGGGTAGACACTCAGCATGGAACAGACACTGAGCTCAGACATTTGGGGGTGGCTCCCCTTGGGCGCCGGCCCCAGCCGCGTCCCAAAGCACCTGCCACGAAGAGATCTGGGTGCACCGCGTCCAAGGCACTGCTTGGTCCCTCCTCAGCGGCCTCACTGCAGAAGTCTTACGAAGCTTCCGACTGATGGACCTGGAGGCCCGGAGGTCCACCTGGTGGAAGGCGTGGGGGAAACTCCGCGTCCAAGGCGGGCTGGAAAATGGAGAAAACGCGGGCTGGGCGCTGGATGCCCAAGTGCCCAGATGATCGCCCAGATGTAGAGATATTGGCTGGAAAGGTTAAACGCTCTTTATAGTGCCAATGTGAAGGTTTGGTAGGGGTTTTCTGAGACTTGTGCTCAACACGGTTTCTCCTCCCTCCGTGCGTAGAAATATGTGGAAATCAAACGCCGTACAAGTCTTCAGCGACATTTGTCCGAGGGAAGCGGGTTTGTCTGATCCAATCAGTCGTTAATGACTCATTTGTCGATTGGTGATTGTGACCCCGTGGCTGTTTAGAATTGTTCAGACCAAATGGCTGTAGGATGGCCACGATCGAAAGAACTCACGGATGGCTGTCGCAGGTCTTGACCGAGCTGCGGCTTTGCCGTCCGGAGAGCAGCATGGAGGCAGCGCAGTCCTTTCCTGTTCTTTGGGGTGGAAGGCACTCCCCCCAGGCCCAACTATGAACCACCTCCAGTTTTGTATGAACATTGGAGGAACGGCTAAGAGAACCGGCAGAACTCCTTCATGAACACATGCGCTTTCCCGACCTCTCGATTCCGGACCAAATGCGAAAAAAACACGTGCCAGTGCCAGGTGGACAATGGCGGTTTGCTCCCCGACAATCGTCGGGAGGTCTCCTTGCGCTTCTTTGTGCCGGTGGATGGTCAGCCCGAAGTCCGAGAAGCTGGATGACAAAGAAAAGACTACGGATTCTGGGTCCATGTTGTGTCAGGCGGCAGGGCATGGCAGGGCATGGCTTGCACTTGGGCATCCATTCGGCTCATGGGAAGGGCGGCCGCCCATTGGCAAAGGAACACAGAGAGGGCTCACTGGTCATCAAGATCCAATGGTTCAGCTACGCCACAATGGAAGAGTGAATGAACGATGTATTGGAAACCGAGCTCTATCTATTTCTGGACTGGTGATCACTTTAGTGACGGAGAAGAACACGTGCCAAACTTGGTAGATCACGCCCCTGTTCCTAGTAGCGATGCCCTTTGTTCCTAGTAGCTTCCTTGCTACTCAGGTCAGTTAAGCTTCTGCCTTTTGGTGCGTGGCGTTGCCCCGAGGTCCTGGCAGGAGGCCACCTTGGCCTTGCAGACCAAGGAGCGTTCCCGGAGCAGTTCCCGGAGCCGCCTCGGACCATGTTAGATGGGCAAGCCCGGTCGCGTTGCAGTCGAAATCCATTGGTGAACCGGCGGTTGTTCGGTTAAGGTCGTCAGGACCATGTCAGGAGTATCAAGATTGGGCACGGAAGAGGTTGGTGGAGTCTTCGCTTGGTTCTGTCCCTGAAACGGACGCTCCTCTGAGTGGATCCGGTTGACGGTTCCTCGTTCAGAGAGCAGGTCACGCGTGAGTGTGAGCAGTGGAAATGACTATACACTCTCTGCAAAATAAACACCAAAATCCTACCAAAACAACAGGCCAAACGCATGGCTAGCATCTCCAAATGTGGGGGGATGCGAATTTTCAGGGGGGCGAATGCCAATATCATGTACATAGACGGGGGACTTACTAGGAGCAAAGGGCATCGCTACGAACGGGGCTCCTGGCCGTACGACGAGGAGCGATCGGACGCTACTAATTAGGAGCAGGACGTGCTTCATGAAGACCCTCCCTGGCCATCCCTGGCCGTACTGGGCTCTCAAGCTCAAAGATGCCCCCCTTGGCAGGACCGAGAGCTAGCCTTATCCTATCCCATTGAAGTCTGCTGCTCAGATGGCTGATGGCTGGGGCATGTGAAATCGTTGGCAGCAGAAATAGGAGCACACATCGGCCAGCCAGGGCCGTCCAAGCGAAAAGGATCCTACCAAGCACCAGAACTTTCTCTCAGCTTCTTTGTTTGACAATGGGACAACGCTCCGGTTTCCAGCATCAGTTCTCATTGCTCCAATTTTTTTGGCTAGAGGCCCCACATGATTATGCCACATTCCGAAAACAGTTCGGTGTTGTCATTGCTCCCAATTTCACCCATGTTTCTCAATGGATTTTACAGATTTATGGCCTTGGGACCCACGTATTTGGCTGTGGGACCCACGTGGAGCCCATTGGAAGCGGATCGCCGGCTCGTCGGGTCGGTCACGGTCAGGCCGGCCGCGCCTACGTGTGGTGGAGCCGTCGGGGGGCTCGGAGAGTGGACGCTTCGGAGCCGGTGGGTGTTGGGGTTCTTGGGGTTCTGGTTTTTCAACCTACTTGTAGTAGGAATGGCCGCCTCAAACATCCTTAAAGCTACTAGCGATGGCCTTCAACCTAGCAGACCTAGCAGTGATGGCCTCCAACCTAGGAGCGGGCTCCAACCTAGTAACCTGGAACAAAAAAGACATGAGAACACAATAATATCCACGGTGTTTCCAGGTCTTTTGGACGTGTATTGTGCATCTTCCAGATCCGCGGTGTTTTAGTGCAGAAATGCTAAGGCCAAAGCTTCCACCAGCTGCTGGGAGGTGCTTTGGGGATCGGTTCAACGTAACAGCACATAGCACACGTAATATTACATATATTTTGGGCGTGCCCCATGACCTGTTACCTGTACGAGGTCAGCAAACAAGCAAATCACTATTTTAGAGAAAGAGGCCTGCAACTGAACCAGCATCATCCACGGTTACTGGTACTGTATATGCCCGACAGGTATTGACCCACTTGTGTTGCTGTCTGGGGAGTGGGACAGTTCGGGATTCGCTCAGGTGCTGGGCTAGGGGGCCTGAAATCCAACCTTAAGGGCTGTGTAAAACACACATAAGACGGGACCCGCAGGTCCCGTCGGACGCGCCTCGCGCCTGGGTGGTTGCTTGATTTTAGACATTTGAGAGTTTTGGAGGGCCTCAGCGATGTAGAACTTGAAGCCTCCAAAGTATCCAAAGAGTGATATCCGGTTGGGTGCCTTCAACATAATAAACGTCTCACTGGAAGAGTGTCACGAGCCTCAAACTTGTATCTAGGTGGCTACTTTGTGGGAGCCTCAGTGCCCTTCACTTTGGCGTGCCTGCACTCATGCCACATGGCCAAGCCTGATATGTGGGGACTGACGCACCCTGTGGACAACTTGTGACAAATGGCCTCACCCAAAGCATCCCTAAACGGAAAAACGCGAGAGATGGCTAAGGCCATTTGCGCGTGGGCTGTCGTCCGGCAGAAGCGCCTCGGCTGTTGAATAGAGTTGGTGATGCTTGCAGTGGTGGAGGGGTGGATGAATCTTAGAGCGCCTCAGCACTTCCGCATATAGGCACCGGTGGAAGCTGCCCTTCATTCTTAAAGCCGCCCTCGTACACCTCATGCTTCAACAAAACCGAGATGCTGCTGCTCAGGTGACCTAAGCAACACACCGTAGGATGCGCACCTGTCACACCGATCCCCTTCTGTGAAGTGAAGCGCCGAAACCTACCTCTTGGTCCTCAGCCCTAGACCACCACTCCCCTGCCCTCGACTGGAAGGCCAGACCTCAAGAAGGAGTCTGCTTGAGGTGGAGTTGGCGTCGCCGAACTGGAGATTGTCGGGCAAAAAGCCCGAGAAGTGACTACCAGAACTTGTTGACTAGCCTACTGAGAAGTGTTTGCCCACCCCGGCATGTGAGGATACGTTGATTTCATCCGAAGCCCTCCACCCCACTCGCGCTGCAGGGGAAGGCTGACCCCGAACGCCGGCCGTTCGGGATTGTACATAGGCGACCACCTGCCGCGACTGAGCCATCGGACGACCTCACAACAGTCTCCCACGTCGGTAGCTCACCAGGCGTCTCCGACAGCTTGCGACTGATCAGTGGAATCCTGGAAGGGTTGCGACGGGTGGGCCCTGTTTCATCCATCCATGGCAGGAAATCAAGAAGCAAAGTAAGTAAATCTTGAAACATCACATAACACTTTAACTTCTTAATGCTTTGATGGATCAGATCAGCAGGATTCAGTGGTCCACAGCGAATAAAGAAAAAGACGTACGTGCATCCCGGAGCGCCAGCTGGCCGTTTGTCATATCTAGCCGAGTCCTTGTTCAATATATATATATATATAATTCATGAGATCGCACTAAGGCCTATAAAGAGCCAGGAATTTTCCTCTCCCAACTTCCACATGCAAGTGCCACATATGTTTTCTTTTAGTAGTGTCCCGAATCCCACTCAAGACGCTTGCGCGTTCAGCCTGGGCTCACTGGAAGGTAGGGGAGCCGATGGAGATTCGCAGCCCAACCCACCCAGCCCAACCAGCCGGAAATGGGTCAGCCACGCACCCCAGAAGACAACCAAGACAACTCACTCAACCTCACTCAACCTCCCACCCAACAGACACTGACCACACCATTGTGAGCCCCACGTCAGCCTACAAATACACCAGACGCGAGCACCACCCCCATACAGGGGAGCAGCTACTCCTGTGCGCCTTGCGCGAAAGTAGCTCCTCACGTTTTTTACCCGTTCCGCACGGATGTTGCCCTAAGCCAACTGCAAAACTGCACGGCCGCTTGGTGGCAGATGGGTTGGTGGCCAGCCCAGGGACGGAGATGGCCAACTGTGGGTGTTGGCGATGGTTTCAATTGCAGGCCATCCAGGAACCCATCCAAGGTGGACGTGTGCTTGAAAAAAGTGGTTGGTGAGAGCTCCGAAGAAGGTGATGTGCCTGATCTATTGCATGCAGACTTGGAATTGAATCAAGGAGGTCATTTTTTGTGTGTGTGCTATTCAATTCTGTCAATGCTATACGATCATTCAGACAAAACCCCATTATTGGCTCATTACCCTCTGCCATGCCCTAAGTCTGGATACTTTTTCGAGCCGGTCAGAAAGCAGCTCAGGATGGGCAACGCTGACAGCAGGCAGACTGGGAACCCTGCGAGCATCTTTGAGGGCCTCGGTCTGAGCCAAAGGTGAACTCCGACTCACGAAAGTGGACAACCACCGGTTGGTAAAGGAAAGTAGTCTTCCAAGGGACCATGCCATCCAGTTCCATGTTAGTGAGTCAGAGTGTAACCGTCTAGCTCCAGGTCCTCAGGTACTGTAGTTCCGTTTTCTCCCCCTCTCCAGCCCGGGGAACCTGAAGTACTGGGTGTCTCTGGGCGGCGGTGTCTCTGTGAAGTTCTGTGAGACGGCTCCTTGTGACGAGAGAGAGAGAGAGAGAGTGATAAGTGTTGCACCAACAGGTAGGATTGGGTGTGTCCCATGTAGCAGTCGGTAAACAGTTATCACTAGTCTAGCCCACGAGAGAGAGAGAGAGAGAGAAAAACGCATTTGCAAACCATCATCCACTGTTACAGGGAATGGGATATGCCAAATCTTTGGGCTGCGGCAACTCAAAGATTCGGGCAAACGGACCCAGCACATTTAAGTGCGACGAGGTATTGTATTCATAATTAATGTAGCAACCTCTGAATGCTTCTGACAGTTGGATCACAAATTCCACTAACTATTTTTTACAAATCAGTTGAACCTTCATTTACTTTACAACAGTGAGTTCAAACTTCCAGCGATCGCAAAAACATGTCGAAAGGATAGGTGTTGGTTGGCAGGAGATCCTTGCACATTGCACAGGGATCTACCTCAGTTCTTGTTGGGTGCCGGACCTCAGTTCCAGGTCCTCTCGTCCAGGTCCTCAGTTCCCCCGATCCGACCTGCCCCGCCTTGCCGGTGCAGCAGCGCACGAGTTCCACCTTCGGGCGTCGTCTTCGACGTTCGGGGCGGCGTGGAGAGGTGCACCGGAGCGGCGCGGACGAGCTTCGACGTCACGGGCAGGCCGACATGTTGTTTGGGCATCGGCATGGACGATATCACCGAGGCGTCAAGAAGCTTGGCCGAAGACGACCTCGGCGTGAGGGGCCAAGGCCCCAAGGTTTGAAGGATTTCCAAGGCCCCAAGGCTGATGAATGCAGGTTGACCCAAGTGTGGGTTGATCTTGAAGTAGATCACTGGATCAACAGAGATGCTCTCATAACTTTCACGCACGTCATAGCGTCATAGCTTCAGGACGGACGTCGGACATGGTAGAGGTTGAGGAGAACCATCCAGCAGGGACACAAATTCCTTTGGCGGCATCTAAGTCACATGAATCGATGTTGTGTGTTTTTTATGCATGTGCATGTGACAGTGACGGACATTCTTTCCAGAGGGGAACTCATTGTGTGTGTGTGTAGGAGTTATGCAACTTTTCCGGTTTACGGGCAGGGACTTTTTCCCCGGAGCTAGGCTCCCAGGGGACTTGAGAAAGGGTCTATGCTGGCACAGTTGAAGCTTGAACATGAGGCAGCGCAGCCAACTCTCACCTGATATATGCTTTTCGAGTCTTTTCGATACAAATCCGCAGGAGCCCCCCGCCAGCACCCAAATCTTACTCCACCGCTCTCAGAATATCCTTGAGTGGAGCCATCGCCTGCTTTGTTGAAAATCGACCAAGGACTGCACAGCAGAGAGACAAAGTGGGAGGCCAGCTTATACAGGTATTTCATGATATTTCCGGCTACCGGACTGGGGATTTTGCCGTGATTGTTGCTTGATGTTGCTTGGTGGCATCGGGAGGGCAAACCTGCAGCTGGTCAGTTTGGACATTCCCGTTTTGAATGCATAGGAGGATCTGGTTTTTCAGACGGCCGCGCTCTGGTGCACAGGTGGAGAATTGTGCCTTGACTTGCTGTCTATCTTGGCGGCCCTTCGGCGGTGAGAAGAAGTGACGAGAGGTGATGGTGAGTGTTGCAGCCGAAAATGCTGGACATCTGCATAGCTCTAGCCGGCCTAGTCACCAAAGTCTGAGGTTCGCGTCTAATAGGCTCAAGCCTAGGTGCAGCCGGTGTCCGCTTTTCACCTGCAATTGTTGGTTCGCACGCTCAGGTTGGGTGCAAATAGTGCAGCGCCTCGGCTGCGCCGATCAGAGTCGGGGACGGGCAACGCCAGTGAGAGCGGACGGTGAGGCTTTCGTGGTTGGGAACAATCACAAAGGCAGCTGGCTAAGGTTGAGTCGAGGAGAATGAAGAATCACACCGTGCGCAGGAACACCCATTCCAGTCGAACTTTTTGGACCTGAACTGGCATGAAGGGCAGAAGCACTTTGAATTGAGACACAGATAGAGCGAGAGAGAGAGAGAACACGAGCTTTGGACGTTTCGACTCCCGGACGGCGTTTGAGAGTTCGGAGGGTGGGCTTTCTCCGGAGAGGAGTTGACCCCGGACGTGGGACGGATGGGAGATCGGGAGAAGAAGCACCATGATTAGACGAGATCGCATGTAAGAGGCGGTGCGAGAAGAAACGGTTTTAACATGTTATGTTTTAAATGCGGGTCTTGGTGGGCAATTAGCTGATTCAGATAGTTACTGTAGATATTTGTAGATCGATTAGGTAGACGGACCATGGATAAGATGACATTCATCCTTAGTACCATGTGGCCACCGCCCGTAAGTAGATACAGGGAGAGAGGAAAAAGACAACACGATCCAATACACTCTTGAAGGGCCAATAGCCTTTAGTCATTAGTCCAAAGTATCAATATATTGCACATAGCCATCAAGACATCGGTTTAGTTTAGTGGTGAATCGTTTGGAGTATGTCACGCCATGGCTTGGTAAACCAAGGGAAGGGGTTAGCGCTGACGGTGTTGAATGTGGTATGTCGACATCTTCTATATCTGTCAAGACGTATGAATTCAAGCTTCCCTCGCCCCCAGTTCAGCATCAAGTTGGAGCAACTGCAGAACTTGCACGAGCAAGTGCGGGGCTCAACATGCAGTGTTCGCGCTGCGTGGGTGAAGTCAGGGACTGGGACACGGAGGCAAACGTTCTTGTTCCTTATTCACTTTGCCAGCTTGTGGCACCCCAGCGTTCAGCCCATTCAACGGGCAAGCACCACTCAATCATACTCCAGTCCATTTTAGACTTCACCCTCGCACAAGGCCACTGAAAGCACATCCAATGCACCCAACTCACTGAGATTGGAAACCACATCACCGTCTTCCGCGCGATGGTGCTCTTCGACGATGCCACTAGCGGCCCCTTGGGTGCAGTTGGTGAAGTGCAGTCCAAAGCTTATTCCTCAGAAGATGCTTGATGAACGCTGATTATCCTATAACAACAGGGGAGGAAGGCTTGACGAATCTCAACCGTCAGCATTGGGAGGATTTGGGAGACTTCGATGCTATCCTGGGCTCGCTCTTCCTTTCACATCGGAATGCGATGGGGGCTTGATGGGGCTTGCAAGACGCACGAGTACCACAATCGGATGACCTCTGAAACGGAGAACGGCGTTTTCACAACTTTTCCTAGGTCCTAGACTCTTTACTGCCCCTGCAATTCCACTCTGAGACTGTCCCTTCATTGGCCACCTCCACAAGGTCTTGTCATGGGCAACGGCGTGGAGGAAGCAGGAATGTGGGAAGCCCCAGGGAGAGAGCCACTGGCTGCGAGCTTGCGCAATGCCTGAGGATGACCAGTGGTTTGTAGAGAAAAGAATCTTCTGAGGGTTTCATTTTCGGATTTCTGGGGTGGGCACGTT